TGGGATGATTACAATGATAAGGGTTGGAGTGTAGCTTGGTGGTAGATTTTCAAGTCACCACTAGAATTCATTCATTAGGATACAAGTACAGTTAACCTCAAATCTGACTTTTATTTTTAATGTCAATATCATACCAGATTAACTAGCATCTTTTTAAAGTTATTTCTTTCAGTTTTGAATAATATAATTACATCATTTTCCCCTTCTCTTTGTTAATTCCAAACACACACATACACGCACACACACGCACACACACACAGAGTATTTGTGTTTTTCTATGTTTATCAATAGCAAAGCAATAACAATCTTAACTCATAACTCTAATTAGAAATAAACCCAGAGAAACATGTCCCAACATACTGTAAACGTGTGAGGCATTTCAGACAATGTATATGGTTTAAAAGAAAAGCAAAAGAAACAGGAATGGGTGCTCTGTGTACTGACAGTATTGTGAATTGGATTCTGATCTGCCTGGTTCTGATTCCTGTTTATTGGCTGTCATGGGCACATGTGAAGTGGGGTACATAGAGTAGTACCTGGCTGTTCACAGAAGCTTTTTTTTTTTCAGGTTGATGGAGGTTTTTTTTTCCTTGATGGGCACTGTAAAGTTTGAATAGAACAGATTTTCTGCTTTCTTAGCCCCTACACATAGCAACTTGTAGGTAATTTATCAAAAACAATTTCACTCTAAAAAGTAGAAAAATAATGCTTCTGATTTTGTTTGACTAAATATTAGATGTCTACTGGACAGTAGCCCTTGGAAGCTCTTGGCAGAGATAAACCTAGATATATCAGTTACTTTTATCATTGTTATGAAAATAATACTTGACAAAAGCAAGTTAAGAAGGACTTTATTTTGTCCTATAATCTGAAATGCAGTCCATTGTATTAGGGAGAGCATGACAACAGGCATGTGAGGCAACTGGTCACAGGGAATCCTGAGGGACAGCATGACTACAGGAGTGTCAACAGCTGGTCACACAGCATCTACAATGAGGAAACAAAGACAAACAGTGGTGCTTGGCTCACTTATTTTCTCTATTCTATTCAGTCATTATCCTCAGTTCATGGAGTGATGTCATTGACATATACTGTCTGTTTTCCTACTTCACTTAGCCCAATCTGGAAATCCTCTCACAGACATGCCCAAGAGTTTGTCTCCTGGGTAATTCCAGATGCTGTGTGTCCATTTGCAAAGACTATTGACTATTACACTGGGTCCTCAGAGAATAGATTTTAATAAATGCCTGAGAAGTAGGTAATAGAACTAAAAGAAGTAAATGTAGAGAGAAAAAAGGATTAAAACAGTTTGGATCTACTAGAGAGTAAAGTGGTACTCACTGGAACCCAAAGATGGGGATGGTGGGCACGGTAAAGAGAAACATTAGGGGAAGGGTACAGCTTCAGTTAGAAAATAGCCCATTATAGCTAGAAATAGAGAGAAAAATGAATATAAAGGCAATGTGGAATATGTAGACTTGAGTATGGAAAAAAAGACCTTGTCATCCATATGTTCTGTTTATCTTAATGTATATCCTACACTGCCAACACTTGTGATCTGAGGACAGGATTTTAAATGTAAATGTTGAAAAGTTGTAAGACAACCTAGTGTTCTTATATGTAACTTGATCATGCTACGTAGGGTTTTTAGATAACATAGTTTCAGAGGCACAGTTCAGTGGCATAGTTCAGGACTCTCAATGAAGGGTAAGGGGCTGCTTCCTGTTGGACAGTTTCAAGGTAGATACCCAGCACCTTTATCATAGAAGAATGGATAACTTCCATTGTACTACAATGCAGATGTGGCCTAAACCAGAGATGAAGTATTGATAAAAGCATCAGTCTCTGTACAGGACAGTTATAAGTGATCAATAATGTTGTAAACAATGGTTGATATCTGTGCATCTTTATCAGTCAGCATCTTATCTACTTAAAATTAAGAGCTGACAACTGAGACAACTAGACAGAATTAACAAAGTTCGTTTATATAAGCTATGTGGCCCTCCCTCAAACTCTGGCATGGTGGTCTGCAGCACTCCATGGCAGCCAGATTTCTTGGGTTCAGTGGCATCTTAAGAAAATTTGAGAGGTTCACTGATTTTGTTTAGTAACAGTAGGCTTTATTATTTTGTGTCCTTGAGAGTTAAAAATAAACATACCTTTTTTCCATAAGCTAGCAAAAAACAAAATGCTTGAAGTTTTTGGTGGTGGTGGTGATGGTGGTGGTGGTGAGAGACAAGGTCTCACTATGTGGTTTTGGCTTTGACTCTCTTGGAACTCTTGAACAAACCCAGCTGGCCTCAAGAGAACCACATGTCTCTGCTTTCTGGGCACTAGGATTAAATGCATGTGCCTGGCCTTTGAATTTAGACCCACTTTAAGCCCAGCATTGTGTCTTAGACCATTGTTGTTGCTATGGTTTCAGTGATCTTCCTTCTATCTCTCAGTCTTTAAATTCTTACAGTGCTGCTATTCTTACAGTGAGTGATTGCATTAAATGCAGTCTGGCATCTGAGAAATGGATCTACAAATGAGGGTACTTTGCATTTGACAGCATTATCTTTATTATCTGGTCTTATATGTGTCAGACTTGTCAGTTAGACAACTTTGATATGAGAGGAAATAAACAGGTACCTTACTCCATATGAGAGTCTTGTAGAAGTAGTAACTCTGTGTATCACATCTGGTTACAGGGAATTGGAAGTAGCATTAGGTACCAGAGTACTTAAGAATGTGTTACTAAGTCCTCCCTTCTCCTACACAAGAGTCAAACAGTTATGTTGAGTCTGGGAAAGAACAGATCTCACAATACTGACTGGGATCAATGTGACAAGGGAGATTTCAGTCTCAAAGGAGTTTATGTGAGGAACAGATTTATCTAGATACCAGCTTCACTGTGACTGAGTATGGGGCTTGATTCATCCACTGAACTGGTACCATTTGGAAGAGTGACTCAGGAGTAGCCTCTGAGTAAGGCAAATCTCAGAGGAACACTTCTCCAGAAGGTGCGTCCCCCAGCTGGCAGTTCTCTTCTTGGTTCCATTGACAAGCCTCTTGTATCCTGAACGCAAGCCATGATCTCCCAGGGGAATACCTTTCCATTGGAACCCCTTGTGATCACTCTGGTACAATTATTTTCCTGAGAGTATCTATTTGATCTCTTTATGCTGGTAGTGATACGCTCAAAGACTGGGGAGTTAGTAAACATAAAGGAGGGCACAGGAGAAGGCACTTGTTTACAGAAAGAAAAAGCGGAGGCTAGAGAGGCTAGTGTTACAGACACTCAGCAAGAGCTAGTGAGGACCCCTTAGACTGTGGGGAGGAGGTGATGGATTAAAGAACTCATTTTAGATATGAGAGAATTTTATGATCCAGTGGCTGAGGAAAAATTACTCAAGTGTCAAATGTCTTTGTTTCATAGGCATGCCATAAGTTTAATCCCATAACACTGAAAAGGCAGCATAAGAAAATTTGATTGAAAACATATTGTTATCAGGGTGTCTTGAATATCTATTTGGTGTGTGTCAACATTCTTTCTATTATAAATAATTTGCAAGATTTTGTGTTATGTGTGTAACTTTCTGGTTGTTATTCTATCATATACAACGATTCACCTCATTCATTGACTTTTAAGCCCTTGGGCCCTGCAAAACATAAAAGAAGCATGCGAATAGAATCGAAATCTTCAAACTAGTCTGGACTCGCCCTGAAATGCCGTCCCTACCAGACCTCATCCTTGTCTGCTTTGTTTGGTTGATCCAGCCAACTTCCATTTCCAGCCCACAGTTTGATGTTTATTTTAGCCAGCTGCTCATGAAAAGTAGAATTTAGCAACAGTTGCAGTGGCATAAGGTGGATTTCTGTGTAGAGCAGGGTAGCCGGGTGTGTCCTGTTGGGTACCCCTTCCTTTCACCCCTTCTCACCTGCATTTCAGCTGTGAGAATAAATCTTGGAAAACTGCTGTTGGGCCTTTTAGCACATTGCCAGCTTCAGCAATTTCAGACTAACCGGTTTTCTACTAAACACTGCTGAAATGAAGTAAATTAGTCTGATGGACACTTGGCGCCCTGACTACTACAAATGGAAAACCATCAACAGATGCTCTTTTGCTGAAATGTAGGCCCTTCCAGGAGATGGGTAAAAGATAAATTCAAACTATACCGTTTCTTTTCCTTTCGGTTCATTTGTTTTTATAGCAGTATTAAAAAAAAAAAAAACCTCTGATGTATTAGTTACAGTAAATTCGTAGCAAATGCTTTGTGGTTGTTTGGGTTCTTCTGAGATCCCTGAAATGGCACTTGGACCATTCTTCATTATATGAACTCATTGAAAATGGGGACTCAAATTCTTCATCAGTTCTAGAACTTCCCTTGGTGTTCATACTTCAGTGTTGGAAATAATGATGAGAAGCAACTGCCAAATACAGTGAGATATTATGTCTCTGTCTTAAATATCAAGTGTTGAGCTACAGTAAAGTAGTATCTGTCACATCTCCAATAGTCAGTATGTATCTAGAACTAGAATGTTTAACAATGTTTTATTTCCCCAGATGCTGCTGCATCCTTTAGCTAGCACAGGCACAGAAAATGGTGACTCTCCCCCAGTTCAATGACTCATACACAATTTAAAGTAATCACTATCAATTGATACTAACTTTCAAGAACAATAATGGCATTATTAATCATTGAGTCAATTTAGATATTTCTTTCCACAAAAAAGCTAATCTAATTTAAGTAGTCTATATATCTCTAAAGAAACCTGAAATCTGTCTTTTTTTACATTCCTTCCAGTTCCTAAGGTTGTCTATTAGATTATGTTCACTATAAGAGAATACAGGAAACTTCAACATAGAGTAATGGAAGAAACACTTAGTTATTTTCAAAATATTAAAAGTATTTACAGGGGAATATTTATAGGGAAATCGAACTGTTTACAAGGATGTTGCATTGTAATTGCATTGTTTTTTAACCATGAAGTTTGTTGTTTATTCTTATTTATAGGGTCAGGATCATGTCGGTTTAGTTACTCTGACCCCAGCATCACTGTGTCATACTCCAAGAACAATACCGCCGATTGGATTCAGTTGGAGAAAATTAGGTTTGTTGCCATTTCAAGTATTGGCTCCAAATCTGTTGTAAGAAGACTTCTGCACCTCTAGTTGCCTTCATTCTATCCAGACTTCTTTCCTTATGGTTAAAATACTTTGGTTGTTCATTCCTCAAGTCATGAGTTTACATATTTACTACTTGAGGAAGTTGTTGCTAGATTGTAACCTTCCTATTCATAGCTTCCTATTGTCAGTACTAACCTGTTTTAGACAGTAGTATATTTGGGGTCATAACTTTTGAGAGAGCATCCTTTACCACAAAGCATCACCAACTGCAGCAGGCAGGAGGTGACCTGACTCTGCCTGTTTGGCATCCAGATCTGAGAGCATGGCCAGTAACAACCGTCTGTGTCCATCCATGTCCATGCTGATAGGGGTTCATAGCTGCTAGGCCTTTTGTATCATCTGTCCCCTAACTTCCAATGTCATGCAGGCCCAACTTTAAATCCTGTATGTTCTTTACTTCAAGAGGTCTCCAATGAGAAAATGAAGTAGGATGCTCCAGGTAAAAGGAACTCTCATAACATTGGAAAGATTTGATGATCTTAGAAAATCCCAAGTGATGTTTACCACTACTGTGGAATTTTAACCATGAACTAAAATTCATAGTGGATGTATAAAAGTAAAATGTAAAGGAAACCAATACCCCATACTTTGAGACAGACATGGCATCTGCTGCACTGAGGGCCACAGCCCCACATTAAATTAATTCCTTTGTGGCGACTGGGGTTTTTCTTAAATTGAAAACATTTTACATAGTACATTTCCATCAATTTTGCAACATTTGTTTTCCATTAGCTCTTTTCTTTATTAAAAGGACAGTAATATGTTTAGGGAAGCAAAAGAAATATTAGGTTGATAATCTTTAATACTAACCAATTTTTACAAGGTTTCTAGAAGTATATGAATAAAATAAAACCCACATAAGCTCTAGTCCAACAAAACCTCATGCCTGCCACAGGTAATTCTAAGTCAGGATTTTAATAAATGATTCCCCTTGCCTGGATGGGATATAATTTACTGATAGTTACTGCATACTGAGCTCTAACATGCTGTATCAACTTTATGGCAATGTTTGCTATTCTTTATGTTTTCTAAGTTTTGAAAATGTATTCACATCAGATATTTAAGCATCTGAATGGATGTACTCAAATCAACATACATATAGAAATTTTACCTTTATCTCTATAGCTTTTCTTCTACTATATTATATCATAACTGAAGTAAATTATAATGTGGATTTCATGGTAGAAAAGAGCTATCTGCTTTGGAAGTGATAAGAATGAAAGTGCACATTTGATTGCACAAAGGGACATCACATTCAGCTGAGTACATTAAATTTTTTTCATGAAAATGACACTTTCAATTTTAGGCTGCATACCAAACCACCATACTCATGCATGCAAATTGCCCTTACCATTGGTGATCAGCAGAAAAGTTTTTCTAACCATCATCTGAAACCAAAGTACATTCTCTTCATCAGTTTAAATTCTTTTTGAAGCTAAAAAAAAAAATACTCACCATAAAATATTGTAAATGAGAAGGGAATTGATTGCCCCCAAAGGTGAGATACACCATCTATAACCCCACTGACAATTCTGAAGATATATATGTGCTTTGCTGGTGAGTGAAAAATATGGCTTTTTCTCCAGCCCTTCCAAACCTGATTTATAGCAGCCCAGCCTACCACTAGTTTGCATTTTCACACCATTTTTAATCTCAGCTAAAACGATCATTTTTACAACAGCAGATTTCTACTTGGATAGAATAAAATGATTAATAAAACTTATATAACAGAAAGAGCTAGATTCTAATAGATGTTATAAGAAAAGCTTGTTAAATTATATCAATTTTTAAAAGGTTTGCCTGTATACAACTGTAAATAATTATAAGGGAATATATTTAATTCTATAGCAAATCTCACATTTCATTCAGCCATCAGATATAAAAATGTATCTGATGACGAAAAGTAAAATGACTATTATACAATGACTATATATCACATAGACATGTGTATATACACTTATATCTTTTATATACTTAAACATATAACATATATATCACACACACACACATATATATATATATATATATACACACACATATAAATGTGTCACATATGAGTACATATCCTTAAACATATCACATGCAATAAGCTCTAATTGATGCATAATTTCAAAATAAGAATCAACATTAATTTCAGTTTTTTCTTTTTTTTCTTATCAAATGAATGATTTTAAAGGGATATCTACCATGTGTCAAAACTCTTCTAGACATAATTTTACTCCTTTTGTATTGTTATAGCAGCTTGTGCCACCTTCTCTGCCACTGTTCTTTTCCTGGCTTATTTGAACGCACTTAGTTCTTGCTTTAATAGGAAATTTTTAACAAGTGGCAGATACTGAAGGTTGAAGGATAGGCTTGCATTTTGTTTGTAATGAGCATCACATGTTCATCATGAGGCTGTGGTCTGAACTGTGAGCTTGACCTCTCCTCTTACACTTGTTCCAGAGCCCCTTCCAATGTGAGCACAATCATCCACATCCTCTACCTTCCTGAGGAAGCCAAAGGGGAGAACGTGCAGTTCCGGTGGAAACAGGACAGCCTGCATGTGGGTGAGGTTTATGAAGCCTGCTGGGCCCTGGACAACATCCTGGTCATCAATGCAGCCCACAGACAAGTCATTCTGGAGGACAGTCTCGACCCAGTAGACACAGGCAACTGGCTCTTCTTCCCAGGAGCAACGGTCAAGGTTTGAACATTTTCATCCTCTCTTCCTTTAGAAACCCAAGGCTCACTGAACCAGTGATAACTTTTTCAAGACAGCTTTTTTGAGTAGTAACATTCTTAAGTCTCATATCATGCCATTTAAGGTTATGATAGCACTTTATTAAAGACATTTGTTTATTCATTCATTTAACAATTGTTTGAGAACTCAGACTGAGCTGAACCCTGTGAACATGAAAAAGCAAATACATTTCTTCTCTTGCTTATAGCTATAAGTTCAGTGGAAGCAGATGAATGCCTAGCTGTGTAAATACAGTTGTTATTTTCTGGGAAAGCTTAGCGGTTTGAGACAGCACCAAATTCAGGCTAGGGACATTAAGAAGGTTATCCAGAAAACAGAGAATATAAGCAGATACTGATGGGTGGTCAGAAAGTGGCCAAGTAGGAGGAGGAATAGCACTCCAAGAACTGGAGATCTCATACATAGAGGCTTGAACTGAATGTTTGTGTCTTCCACCCATTTGTGTGTTATAATACTATCATATGGAACTAGAAAGTAGAGCCCCTGTGAGGTCATTCAGTCATAAGTATGAGTCCTCTATGAATGGAAGATAGTGTCCTTATGAAGAACTCTCTGGCCTTCAGCATATGAAGACATAACAAGACTAAGGATGTGTAGGCCCTTGCTAAGTCTTCCAGTATTTGATTTTGGAACTCTAACTTCCAAAACTATTAGAAACAGGTATTCCTACTTAAATTCCAGGCTGTGATGTTCTCTAACCATAGCCCCAAACTAAGACATTCTAAATTCATGGTTTTCAATATTTAGTTTGCAACCTCTTTGGGGAAGTCATATATCAAATATCCTGCATATCAGAGATTTACATTACAACTCAAAATTGTAATGTAGCAAAGTTACAGTTATGAAGTAGCAATAAGATAATTTTATGGTTGAAAGGTCATTATATAAGGAATTGTATTAAAGGGTCAGAGCATTAGTCATGTTTAGAACCACTGGTTTAGATGGTGAATACATAAAACAGAAACCATTCATTGGAGTTAAAAACAGTTATCCCACATATTCTGAGGCTCATGGTAAGTAATTCTGGTGTCATGGCAAGAGGGAATGCCTTGAAGATTTGCTAGCTGCTATAGTACTGACATTATATCTAGAGATCATATCCATTGAAGTACTTTAAATCAGAGACAGTTATATTGGTATTTGAAACTGCTCTTCTAAGAGAGAGCTCTGAGTGAAAGGATTATTTAGAAAGACCAAGGAGCCACTTACGAATGGTCAATGAGAGATCTTATTAGGCAGGCTTAAGGGAGAGGGGATAAAGACATGTGGATATATTTCAGATTTTGTCACAAGGGAATGGGGGGAGATTGGGGACTGATAAAGAAGAGGAAGAAATGGTAGATGTCAGGAACAAGGTTTGGGCAGGTAGACTGGCAAGGGTGTTATTTTCTGAAACAAGAAATATAGGAGGAAGAACAAATTCACAGGATGGTTACAGTTGGTTTCTGTTTGGACACCTAGCTCTTGGTGTTGTTAGGGCCAAGTGGCAAGTAGTTGGCAGAAAATGAGTCAGAAGTTATGGCAGTTGTCACCTGGTGGATGGGCATAGCAGTCACAAGGTTGCCTGAGGAGAGACTCTGTGATAAAGAACCAATACAAAAGGGGTCATTGACCTTCAACTGGATCCCTGCATGTTTCTAATATGTAGAAAGAAATTGAAAATTTATCTTATAGATATTTTTTATTTTTTAGCTACGACTTACTGATGCAAAACAATCTGTGTTAGATAGGGGTGAGACCACAAGAAGGGTAACAAAGAAAATATAAACGCTTAAGATAGGTTTTTCCACATGTACATAGAATAGAAAAATAACACAGGATCTTTTACATACTTGGCAAGTGTTCTAGCACTAAAGTACATCCACAGCTCTCTTTTTGCTATTTGGGGCAGGAATATAAGTTCTTGTCAAGTTGCCAGTATCTTAGGGTTTTACTGCTGAGAAGAGATACCATGACCAAGGTAACCTATAAGGCTATATTATAGGTTCCAAGGTTCAGTCTATTACCATCAGGGTGGGAGCATAGCAGCATCCAGGCAGGCATGGTGCAGGAAGAGTTGATAGTTCAACATCTTGTTGGGAAGACAAACAGGAAAAGACTGGCTTCCAGGCAGCTAGGGTCTTAAGAGTATCTTAAAGCCCACGCCCATGCCAACAGTAACACACCTACTCTAATAAGGCCATACCTACTCCCTGGGACAAGCAAGCATATTCAAACCACAAAACCCAGTTTGACCTTGAACTCACCATTGAGTTTATATAGGTCTCAAACTTATGGTGCCTCTGCCCTCTGCCCTCTGCCTCTGTGCCCTCTGCCTCTTTGGTATCTATCTAGGATTAGAGAGGCCTGTGCCACAGTGTGCTGCTTACAAGAAAAAGGATTGCAAATTGGTCTCAACCCAGAAACTCTCCTCCTTCCTCAGGCAGTCAAAGCTTGTAGTCATTTCAGCACAGGGTGACGAGATTATAACTGTAGACTGGTCTTGGAAGCAGGTGTCCTCTCTGCTCAGTTGAGGAAAGCATCCTATGAGACCTCTTACAGAAAAGTTTCTGATACAGCCCAAAGCTGCAGCTGCCGTAGAAAGAGTCTACGAATTCCTTTTGCACAGAAAACTTGTCAGTGTACTCTGAGTGATGTCTTCTGGCCACTGTATTGAAAGAGGGCTTTCTGCTGATTCATCTCTATACTAACAAGCAGATCTGAGCCCTTCCCCAGCATGAGTTTTTATCATCTGACTCTCATGCCCTCTACTAAATAGATGTACATTTCTGCATCCTATTATAAGCTATTATACTAATCTAATTAGGTACTTGGTTTTTTAAGGCATGTACTTTGGTTCTATTCACATAAAAAATGCACAAAGTCTGCGTTTGCTTCAGTAAGAAATTTAATTAAATTAAAACTTTTGGTAGAAAATGCTTTCTTTCTTTTTAGTCTTATGTTCCACTCATAAGCTTACCAACCACAGGCCTGAGAATTGCCTAGGGACTTGGTCAACTAAGGAAAGAAATGTCACTGTGGCAATGTTTTTTTTTATTGACTTTAAGTCACCTGCCAGATAGATGTTCTACTCCAATGTTTCTTTTGAAAACTTGAAATGCATGCCCTAGTTAAATAAATAAATAAATAAATAAATAAATAAAAATAAAAATAAATAAATAAATAAAATAATAAATAAGTAAATAAATAAATAAAAGAATTTTTTAACTCATTTGTATAACGACTCTTTTGATTTCTGTTTGAAATATCTCAAAATGAAAACCTTTTCTTTGACCAAATGATTCAAAATTATATAATAAAACTCGTTCTTTAATTATATGAAATGCTTTTGTCAAATATTAATTATTTTCTTAATGTCCTTTGAGATGAAAACTACTTAGAAACCATCTCAGTGTCCCCATGGGTTATGAGAGTGTTTTAGATGTTGCTTTATTTTGGATTTTAATTGTAGAAGTACATGTGTTTGCTCAACAGACTTTAGCATTTTATGTTTACTAAGTGTTTTCAAGGTAGTTACATTTTACTTAAGTCAAAGAGAAAACCCACCCATGATTAAGAGAAGAAAAATGTGTTTTGTGTGTTCTGCGTATGTGTCTGTGTGTGTGTCTGCAAAAGTCTCTAGAATACTAATGTTGATAAAGTGAAGCTGTTATGAATATATACATTTCTGACTAAATTGTCCAGCTGCTGGTCTCAAAGCCCATGTTTAATCGGTCGAAAAGAAAAGAGAAAAATGAGTTCCTGCCACTCACAGGCTAGATTTCTCTCATCTCCAGATGTTTCAATTTCTCTAAAAATATTTACAGTTTCATCTGAACTATCATTGTTTATCCCAAGTAGAGCAAAAGTGGCCAAAGACTAGACAAAGTAACTAATGTAAGGTGTCACATGACTCAGGGACCTGTATACGTCACCAGCTTAAATCTCTGGGCTGGTAGAAGGTCATGGCTATTCTTGGGTTTTTAGTAATTAGTGTCAACTGTACCTGCAAGAATCCAGCTTTACTTAGAAGCTGCTCTCATATTTGTGTTTGATTTACATGTGGTGTGAGGAGACACTCGACCACTGAGCTACATCCCCAGCACTTTGTTGTAATTTTTGATTCGGTAAACTGAAGTAGATGATAAGCAGTTTCCAAGGTAGTTACTCTTCCCTGTGCCCACAGCCCTGCCTGCTTCATCTTCCAGGTTTGTCCCATTGAACTTTCCCACATCAAAGAAAAGGTGTACCACATTCTATTGTGCTTCTAATCAACAGCATTATTCTTTATTTTCCATCAATCCTGAGGAAACCCTTTGTTCACTACCAAGTACCTGAGGCTTTAAATGCCAGTAATAAACTAGGCAAATGATAAATATCTCCTCAGAGTGCTGCTTCTGTAGCAACACCCCCAAAACCCCATCCCCTACGCTGCATGAGCCTAGCACAAACAGATCAAGTTAGCCAGGGAGAGCCTGAAACCCACTCTCTATTAAACCACCTATTTCATTTGCTTGCTACCACGATTTTGCCTTCTTTCACAGAATGAGACTTTTTATTTCTGTGTATTTTTCTAGAAGTGTAAGGAATTAATGTCAGTTTATACTGTGCTAAAGTAAGTTACAGTATCAGTTTATCAATGCAATTGTTAGAGTAGCTGCTGTTACCACATCAGGGCTTCTGTCTGGAAGCTGTGGGTGTTCAGAACATGTTTAAGAGTCAGAGGTCCTACCTTCCCACCTGATGAGGGAGAATGAGTAATCTCAGGCAACTTCTGTGCACCAGCTGTGAGTGATTTTGGTTTAATCAAGGATTAAAGGATACAAGCTGAATATTTTGGCTATTTCCATTTAAGGTTTAGCTTTTCACGCTGGGAAAGGTTCTCACACTCAGGAATGATGCTTGCCATATCATGAAAACCACATGGATCCTCGACAATAATGGCTAAAAATAATAATAGTAAT